CTGCATCCTGAGCGCCCTCGAGACCCTGAATAAAGTAAGAGGGGACCCCATAACCCGTTACTTTCTCGCGGAACGCCTTTGCCTCTTCATCGACACGGTCAGCAGCGGCATCCGAGCTCAACCATTCGCCCACTTCGGCCTTGTCCATGCCTGCTTCTAGCGCAATCTCACGCAGGACGTCGAGGGACGAGATATCTTTCTCAAGCTCATGATACGCCTCGAATATCCTCTCAACTAGAGCATATGTAATCTCCGGCGATTTACTGCGGCTGAGGTATACTAGGCGATGGGCGTCTCGCGTATGGGGCCCAATCATGCCGCCGTGCTTGAAATGAATTCCCACGGCGCGTCCCGCTTGTTCCACACGTTTCGTGGCAGCCGCCTTCTTCTCCTCGCTCCAGTCCGCCAACTTGACTTTAGCAAGCTCACTCTTCTCGACACTGTGGGCGAAGGTATTGTGCCCCAGATAATACGGCCGCCAGCTGATTCTGAAAACGTCGTGTCGTCCGCCTGGGTAGACTTTTCGGTATAAGGCGATGGCGTTCTCAAGGTTTCGCTTGCCAATGTAGCACCACTAATAACATTGTCAATGCCTTTGCCTAACCACCTGAGTCTAGCTAGTCCTAGCGCACCCGAGAATAGAGAAGCACGCACGTACAGCACAGACGAAATCAGAAACGACATCAATCTCTATAACCGCCATTTTCGATGGCCAGTCTTATTCGGACGGAGTAGCATCTACAAAAGCGCAGCCGTTTGGAGTGCCTTTAGGAGATGTAAGGTAATATCCCGTTCTTACTCACACCAGGTACCAAACGAAATGGAGCTGGCGGGATCCCGCCCGCGGCAGGTGGGGACATTTTAAAAGATGACTCTAGGTGCTTACCTATTGCTAGGTATACTACTGTAGTCCCCCACGCTGTTGCAACTAACTCCTGTCCAGAGACAACTAACTCCCTAAGTAACTGGGATAAGTTTGCTTGAACACGGTCTGAACTACCGGCCTCTAAGCCGATTTAATGCGCTTCGTTATAAGATGAGTATGCAGCCTATTTGTCAGTATTCCCCACTCAACCGCTGAAAACCGGCATATCAAGACTTTTCACACTGAGAGGAATTTCGGGGGTTCGAAGCGTGCCTTGGAGAGCTTATTACTTATTTATACTCCCCATTGGCGCACAGCAACAACATTCATCAACCTAATCCCTCCATTATCGATTTCTAAGTTTTTAACAACGCCCAGTCTTTTCAATTTACCGAGGATCGATTAATAATAAAAGCAGAGCTTTGCCGGGCTTTCTTACAACCGCACTCCTAAGCACAGCGATCCGGAGACCGGAGTTCTGGGATCAAACTATCCGTGTCTTCTATTCAGCTTACAAATACAGAGAGGTTATTCTCACCGCAATCTGTCGAGAACATGCCAGGCACCGACTATAGCAACGTCTTGCAGAGAACGCAGGGGGGAATCGAAGAATTAATGTAGGGTCGCGTAAGTATGATACTATGCCCGATCTCAGCTAATCCTAGTCTTCGGCTTTTAGGACCCGTCGCTAGTCTATATACTATGCAGACGAGGAACTCGCTAGTGTAGAATTCTTGTTCGCGGCTCTATGCAGCCTCGTCTCTTTGGCTTTGTAATGGAGCAGAGAAGCCGAGGCCCCTACTATGGTGCACAACAACGCGCAAGGCGTTGCCATCTCGTGTTACGGCAAGACCCTCATACTCTCTACTTAGGTATATACACGTAGTTAGATTAGGTAGGTACCTTGGGTAGGTTAGGTGCCCGAGGTGGGTAAGAGTTAGGGGAATGGAAGTGGAGAAATCAAACAGAAACACTTTTAGAGCTTGACTATCACTAAGGTAGTCTAAAGTACCTAGGCAGGTAGTCTGTATCTCTAACCAAGCCGCCATATACGATGCCCCATCCTGACCTCCGGCCCGAAGCGTGACTGGTGCACGAAACGGCAGCATGCTCCAGCTTGTTTCATTTTCGGATCGGCCAACCAGCTCCTCGGCCCGGAAAGACTTATAGGGCAACCTTACCTACGGGTAACGGGGGGAAGTAGACCCGTATAGGTAAGGTATATGGCGATTGCCGATATCTAGCGGTCCAATGTGGTGTGGGATATGAGCCGTAGCTGACAAATGGAATACTGACAACATCCTGCTCCGTTGGCCGCAACTAAACCCTTAAAAGGCGGGTGATCCGGGCCTCAGGTCATCTCTATCTACCTAATTCACATCACCACCCTCGATTGCAACATACTGTTCCATATCGCAACATCTCCCTCAACTCGTTACTTAGCTCTAACCAGAAATACCACTTTCAACGCCAAAACCTCATAGAATCCCTTCAACATGGCTCCCTTCGGCAAGATTTACACATACCCTAACAACTTGCGCGTCAATCGTGTAAGTCTTGTCCCTGCGACGGACCAATCATCCGCAACAGCGAGTTATTAATAATGAGGTTTAGGCGTTGATCATGGCCGACATGAATGGCCTAGAGATAGAAATCCCGTCATACACCATGCGCCAGACCAACACAACTCCAGAATTCTTGTCCAAGTTCGCGCTCGGCAAGGTCCCAGCCTTTGAGGGTGCCGACGGCTTCTGCCTGACCGAGAGCATTGCCATTGCCACTTACATAGCGAAGTCTGGTCCGAAAGAAGGTCAACTACTTGGCACAGGTATGGTGTTTGCTATTGCGTAGTGTTCAACGAGACTAAATTTTCGGTTTCGTAGATGCTAAGACACAAGCCCTCATCACACAATGGGCATCCTTTACTGAGGGCGAGTTGTTCAACAACGCGTTCGTACCAATTGCTATGACGGTCTGTAAGTAATAAATTTTCATTGCCACTGATCGGGAAGCCTCGTGGCATCGAACTTCTGGATAATTAAGTGCTAACATACTATACAATTAGTGAAAATCTACACTCTAGATGAGAAGCGCTTCAATGACCACATCGCTGCCTTCAAGCGAGATATCAAGTATCTTGAAGTTGCTCTACAGGGTGGAAAGAAGTACCTCGTTGGCGACAGACTGACGATGGCCGACTTTATGGTTACCAGCCTTCTCTATTACGCCTTCAAGTACTTGATCGATGCTGAGTTGCGCAAGGAGCTGCCAAACGTACTTGCGTACACCAAAAACTTTGCTGCTGCCCCAGAGCATAAGAAGTATTACGGTGAGCTGGAACTATGCGAGAAGAGCATTACGGCCAAGGATAGTTAAACGAGACTGTATGACCCACAGAATAGTGAGAAGATGAGCGTATTAAGATATCAAAGCTAGGTTCTAGTGAATATAATTCTAGTTAAAGTGTTATGGCATTTCGGTGTCCTCCTATTGCAGCTGAAGGGTTCAACGCGATGTTTGTGATCCCCAGAGAACCCGAAAATCAAGGAAATGCAGGTGAAGGTGGAATAAAAATTCGGGATGAGAGCTGGAAAAGCCCCTAATTAGAATACAAGAGCATGTAGGCACAACTAATTACATCACATGCTTTAATAACTATGCACTTGTCACCTCCTAATCAAATGGGATAGCAGTAGAATGGCCACGAAACCTTCAAACAGTTATACCCGTCTCACCACCACGGAGGGGACACGTTGGCTCAGTAGACTATATGTCAGGCTACTGTTTCCCAGATACCCATGGGGGTTACCCATGGCAATGATCCTGGATATATACAGTTGATTAATTTATTGAGCTCTAACTATTAATACCTATCTAACTATGTACGAGTCCCTCTTGCCTTGTAACTAAGGTAACCAACTTCCAATCTTGCAAAGTTAATGACTATAGCTTGCGCACAGATGAGACATACTTTGAAGGTTACCATTTCACGCTTGACCCTAAGTCGGTTTCCCCTATTTGTTGCGCCTTGCTGACGTTGTTAAACCGAACACCCAGTGGTAAGAAGAGCTACAGGCAGTCCACTGGACTCTACTGAAGTTAGTTTATTGTAAAGGTTCGACAGGTAGCCATCTTGTTGGACCTTTCCTGTTGCCTATTTCCGCGTGAATCCAGAGCGTTGTCTCGTATCGTCTGTCATCCCCGAATCCGTTTCTTCTTTAACATGGCTAAAATATTGGCCTCTACTTGATACTCGTCAACCTCCCCTAGCAATAAAGCTTGGGCCTATCCCGTATCTCTCACACAATACTTACTCTGGCTTTTCCGGACTGGGTCAAATATTCCCTACTTCCAGCCAACTTGCTGATACCATGGGTCTAAGACAACCCGTCGGCATAATAAATTCCTCCGAGACACGGGAATAAGCCTCGGACAAGGAGCGGATGCGTCCAACACCAGCGTGTCACCACCCCAATCGCCAGCGCGTGCTTGATGCGCAGAATCTTCAGCCATGAACGCCCAAGAACGCCCGGTTAGCTTAATCGGTAGAGCGTAAGACTCTTAATCTTAGGGTTGCGGGTGGGTAACGTTTCTACATCACGGATGTGCAGAGATATCATGACTAACAATGTGTTTCTGGGCTTGGCCCTCGCATTGGGCTTAATTCCTGATGCCTCCCATGTTAACTAGGAGTAGCAACCCCTATCCTTTTTCCTCCCCCAGAGCCCCCACCTAGTAAAGGCAGCATTATTAGGTTAGAGGTTACGGATATTTAATCTATAGAGTTATTTTTTAGATATAGTTACCTTGGTTTTTAAACATAGTGATTATATAATTAAGTGGGTAAGTAAACTAGTTAATGCTCCCACATAAAAGCCATAGAGATAAAACCTTGCCCACAACAAATTTCTTCTTAGCATTAACCCTAGCGCCTATTACCTTGCAATGCTACCTAGAAGCACTTCATACATGACTCCTTTCCGCAAGCCCCCATCCACTAACACATCAAGCGCAGGCAACGTGGCTGAGTGGTTAAAGCGTATGACTAGAAATCATATCCCTTCGGGGTCACAGGTTCGAGTCCTGTCGTTGTCGTCGCAGGGTCGCACCTGGCAACAGGTGGTGGTCATCCAGAGGTCTGGTGGTCTAGTGGTATGATTCTCGCTTAGGGTACACCCTATGCTTAATATGCGAGAGGTCCCGGGTTCAATCCCCGGCCAGACCCTTATCTTTTGTTGTCTTGTATACCAGCAACTGTAACGAGTGTGGGTAAATATTAATGTGTTTAAAGAGATTAAGTAGGTAACTAGGAAGCCTCCGTAAGGGGTAGTTATATATACTATGATCTATACTTTCTTTAACATAACTAACCCTTTTTTCTTAGCTAGCGATATATATGGCGGGCGAACTAAATATTAGCACATGCTAGTAGGCGATAACATTCTGTAACAAAATAAGCTACACGCAGTGCATAAGAAACGATATAAAATGTTCATAAAAAATCGATTAAGTATTTATATTCTAACGCGTTACATATAATAATAACGAAAGTTGCAAGCAAGACATTAATAGCATTGTCACACGTACCGAGAGGCTAGGACCACGTCCAAGACGTGTAAGGGGACCTGCATATCATATATATAGTCATACGACTATAAGACTCTGTGTAGGGCTTTAGCCCGTACCTTACCTACCAGGGTATGTTTGCCTAATCAGGCCGAAACAGCTATACGAGGGCAGGTCGGCAACTAATAAAAACGAGGCTATTTAGACATATAGACTTTAGATCTCCCAGCTGGCTAAAAAGGGGGACAAGACCCTCATGGCTGCCCTTGACGCCCTAGGTGATTATTGTAATTTGAAGATCCTTCCAAGCCCTTGCTACATAAACACTTCATATTCGTTTCAAATAAGGACGCCAAAGATTTGATAATGAACATACGTGTAAAAATGAAATCTCATGAAGCTATGAACAAGGTGAAGAAAGAGAATATTCGGCACGTTGGATGAATCATAGATTAAATATACATCGATAGATAAATCTATACATCATTAGTTGTGTTCGCTGGCTTCAAGTGGTTTTTAGCAACGAAAGCGACATAGCCTGGAAAACACATCCCTTCATTGACACAAACAAGTCAAGCCAGTTATAATAAATTGTTCGTTCATTTGTGAACCCTTGAAAGCAAAGTGCGTTTAAAATTGGCAGCAATATCATTATCTCAAGTCGTCAATAGGGGGAGGTGTATACTCGAAGCTCGAGCAGTGATAGACCGACGATGTGGAGCCTTGCTCCCATGCCGCAACTGCGCCCTTCGCTGACAGGGCCGACGCCCGGTCCCGGAGAGAGAACAAGCATATTTCAGCCAATTTCAATGCAGTTGGACCTGCGAAACAATCCTGAAAGGCCCTAATCCATTTATACTCAATTAATTTCACACGTCGCCAGCTTGGCAACCGACCTGCGCCGAGATGGCCGGATCACAGACTCATTGGGTCATCGTCGCATTGGAGACGTTCTTCTGCCCGCTGCCCGACTTCACTCTCCCAGCGGGTCATACCTGTGAATTCCGGGACTATGGCCGGACCAGGCCGGACCAGATAGCGGAGCGGATCCACGATGCCGATATTGTGATAATGTCAATCCTGCCACTGACGGCGGAGATTTTGAGCGCAGAGGTAACCCCGCGCCTGAAGAGTACGATTGCACCAAGTCCTGTCCCCGTCGGCCTAAATGCGCATGTACATTTCTAAAGGAACTGGGAACATTGAACATATACCACGACGGCTAACTGTAAATATCGGATAGTGATATCTATAATTGCGTCAGGCACAGACACTGTGGACTTAGCAGCGTGCCGGGCGCGAGGAATAGTTGTAGGTAACACTCCTCACTGCAACGTCACAACAGTTACTGAGCATGTGCTCACGCTTTATTTCGCAACGCGCCGCTCTATCATACTCACGAATTCACTCACACGGGCCGGCGACTGGGTCGCCAAGGGATCGCAGGCGGCCACTATGAACGGTCCCGATGGCAAACCGCCCAGGACATGCCGCGACGAGCTGGTGGGCATTATCGGCTACGGCGCAATTGGGAGGAATATCGAGTCGACGGCTAAACTTCTGGGTATGAAGACCGTCGTCGCCGCGCGCAAAGGTGCCCCGGCACTAGAGGGTCGCGCCCCATTCGAGACAGTAATCCGCGAGTCCTCGGTCCTAATAGTCTGCCTCCCGCGCTCGCCCGAGACCCTCAATCTCATCTCCGGGGCGGAGTTTAACCAGATGAAGCCCTACGCGCTGCTCATAAACGTGTCGCGAGGTGGCATTGTGGACGAGAAGGCTCTTCTCGCTGCGCTGAGGGAAGGGAAGATCGGGGGGGCGGGTACAGATGTTTATTCTCAAGAGCCAGCGGATTCTTCGAACAACGCTTTGCTCGCACCGGATACGGCAGATCTCAACTTAGTGACAACACCACACGTGGCTTGGTACGCGGGAGAGACCTTTGAAAACTACAGTCGAACTTGTAGAGCGAACATCGCCGGCTTTGTGACAACGCGGAAGCCTGAACACCATGTTTGCTAGAGTTGCCGACGCTGAGAGGTTGTGAGGGGAATGCGGGCGTGAAAGAAGATCTGGGATTCTACATACATGTGATGTGATGATATCACTTGCCAAGCACATAGATGCCCACGGTGGCATGTATTGCGACCTAGGCTTCAATATGTCGCTTTTAGAACCGCGTTTCGATCCATCCACATCCTGTTGAGATGTATGGGTAACACGAAAACTTACTTATAGACTCTATTATCATCTTAGACAACTCCCAAGTAACAAGGTTAGGCAGAGTTGGAAGAGTATGAGCAGCTCTCTCAGCTTCTGAGTGGTCATTTACGTAGATTGATGAAAAAAGTACCGTAGCACGACTCCTACTCGGCTCTTTATTACTAATGATGCGGCTGCGTTAGTTGAGGTGCTTGAATATTCATGCTTGATGCACATGCTAGGTAATGAAGTATGGCGCAGCTGTTGAGGTGTGGGTTCAAGTTGTGGCTGGGTTTCTGTTTTTAGCGATCCATCGAGTCTGGAATAACTGCCATGACATCTGACGTCTCGCCAACTCCTGTCGGTCGATGCGCTGCATAATCGGTCGGAGATTTTGCCCCGGTCGCCCTGCAAAACCAGATTAGGTATCGTTGTCGTCATTCCTCGACGGCTCTGCATTTGTGAAGCCCAATCAAATCGTGGCATTCCAGGCCGGCAGTCCCAAAACGGTAATGAACGGCCACTGGTATCGAAACGAGGTCAAGGGGCTATCTCTTACCAGTCCGGGGTATATAGACTCAGTCAACCTGAATGGGTGGTGCCCACTTCATACTTTGCGAGTATTCATCTATTAGGTAAGGTATGATGATGTAGTTGAGCCAGGACCCGGTTCATCCCCTGTTGTTAAAAGGCATTTATGAACATGTACAGCCCAGTTGGAAATCCTTGAACAGAACCCGGCTAGTATCGTGATTCGACTATTGATCGTACATTGGGCTGATGCCATAATACTACGGCAGGTGGGTGGCGACGGTCGATAACCCCGGCCGAGAGCCTGCAAGGGTTGCATAGTATTAGATAGAAAATCTAAGCCTCGCTGTGACTTCATGTTTTCCGTACCATCCCTTCCTTCCCACCTTTGCATCGCGCGAAGCCCAAGAACTTGAATCATAAGAAATGACAGATGCTTATTTGTATACTTACTCATGGTGAACACATCTCGGTATGACATCCCTCCGAGCTCGCCATAGCACTTCAGATACAGGCGAACAGCGTCCACGCATCGAACGGCCGCGTTTTAACTCCCAAGTCACATCCGACAGGCTAGAAGAGGGCTCCAAATTTGTGGCGTTTCCCATGAGCGGCAAAATTCGGAAAGGGAGGAAGTCGGTGTTCCGGGAAATTGGGCTGGGGCTTGGTGAAGAGAACGCCGAGGATTCAGCCGGTAGGCAGAGTTGTAAGGAGACACAGGACAGCGAGACTACGAGGCGGCCACCAGAATCGACAACCCCGGCGTATGAACGCAGACATTCCTTTGGAGGAAAGTCAATACGGGAAATGTCTCGATGGTTCTCGAAGTTGATACCAGAAAGACGACCGCAGATCAAATCAGCTACAACTGTGCCTCCCAGTTCAGTAGCGGGTATACACAGAGTCACTCTGATCGCGTTGCTGATTGCGGTAGTCATTCCCGCCATAGGGTATAATAGCGGTCGTCGCAAGGCTGAAATGAACGGCGCAGATGCTGGGGTGATTCGGGAACCCATAGTCAGACCTGTACTGGGAAAACGTGCAAACAGTCCAACAGATGTGTGCAAGAGATGGGCTGCGCAAAGTAAGCATACCGGGCATGGCGCGTAAGGCGAAGTAGATGCTAATAATTATAGGCGCTGTTTTGAATGGGACGCTTTATTACTATGGTGGTCGAGCGAATATAACGGCGGATCAGACAGGCAGTACATGGAGTACGTATAATTCGCCCTAAGCTGCAAAGCCTGACACTAACAATAATCAGACAACAACTTCATTATGGTGGATCTAACGGAGTCCTGGGATATTAATTCTCCCTCTGTAAGCGGGCTTCCTCAGCCCGAAGGTCCCCCGGACGTGTCATTGGGATATCTCTGGAACGACTTCGAGCATCTGTTTCTGTATGGAGGTGAATTTGACTTCCCGTCATCCGACCCATCGCCTGTCTCAACCTGGATGTACGACATAGCTTCGTCTGCCTGGACCGAACTCAAAAATCCGACGACGTCTGCTGGCCAGTACTCTGACGCAGGGGGTGCCCCGGTGCAGCGTGCAGCAGAAGGAGCTGGAGTATCTGTGCCTGAACTGGGCCTGAGTTGGTATTTTGGCGGTCGTCTCGATTGGGGCACTACACCAGGCTGGTCGAATCAAATTCCCCGGGTGTACCTAAAGAGTCTCCTCGAGTTCACGCACCCCGGCTACTCGAACGTGCAGGTCGACTCCCTCCACAACTCGGGTGCACCGGACGGCGGCGCCTACCGCAATATCACATGGGCCGGAGAACAGAATCAAGACGGGTTCACAGAACGTGCGGACGGCGTTCTCGTCTACGTTCCCGGCTGGGGCCCAGGGGGTATTTTGCTAGGTCTGGGTGGTGGCGTCGTCAGTGACAACGATACGACGGATGCTTTCTCATCTATGACCACGATC